AAGTCCTTTGCATCAGCACAGAGCATTGGGACTTCTCAGCTGTGTAACTTGTTTTAACCAGCATTTTAAAATGTAGTAACTCAACTGTTTGCTGAAAAAAAGGACTTATAGGTGTATTTATAGGAGATGAGTGCATTTATCAGGATGCAAAATGGGAATAGGATCACTGGTCTTAGAACACTGATTATCTTATTTTTGTAGACTCTTGATGCTGAAAATCTTGGCTTTCAGTTGTAGTTATGAATCATGTTTGTTTTGAGAGAGGAAGGCAGAAAAAGATGATTTGGTTCTAAAGAACAGTCTCACAGCCACTTTCTGTGGTGGGCTTTGAGAGTAGGAATCAATTTTTGTAAGCATGTTTGTGAATTCAATAACTCCCTCCCAATTTTTGTTTGACATCTACGGCTTTTATAGAAACACTAGTCCATGAAAGGATTCAGTATAAGAGTGAATATTCAGTATAATGAGTGACTGTATACAAACTTTTTGCCTACCATTTTATCTTTATATTCAGATTTTAAAATCAAAGAATTATCGTATTTTGTTAACTTTATTTTGAACTTCAAAATGGGAAGATTGATTAGACAAAATATCTATGAATTGTGTGCTTACTTGTTATAAGCTTGATTTAGAGACTTCTAAAAATCCAGAAAAACTCTGCCTTTTGTCTCCATCAAAATCCGTTTGCCAGGAAAACCTGTGATTTCTGATGTTTTCACACTGAATAGAGACAAGAGAAAAAGGTGTGTTAAAAAGAATGATGTAATCACTGGTGATCTCTTGATAATAAAAGAACTACAAAATAACAAAGATTCTTTGGAGTTCTAAAATCACCGATCCAACCTCTCAATAACCAAGATCATATTTTCTCCTCTGGAGGACTAAACAGCTTAAAAGAAGAGGCAAGAAAGGCCCTGGGGAACTGCACTTTTGAAACCTCTTTAGATAAAGTCATGAGCTGAAAGAGCAAGAAAAAAAGTCTGAAGATTTATAGGCTAGAGGAAATTGCTTTTTTTGAGAAAATATATTTTAGCTTGGTTTGTAAGGGGCTGATAAAGATAGGGTTTGACTTTTGTATATATATATTTTAAAAAACTGCCCTCCTTTTGGTTTACATTCCCAAGTTATACAAAGGGTTTCAGAAGAATCAAAAAACAGAGTACATCAAACACAGCTGTGCTGACTAAAGGCTTTTAGCAGAAAAAAACCCAAACAAATGGTGTAGCATGCTGGCAGGTAATTCCAGAGTACTGTCTTTGATTTCTTGTTCCTGGAAATATGGCATTTGCTGTCTTAAAACCTACAAAACCAGAAATATCTAAGTTCTTTAATTTCCCATGATTCTGCTCCCCAGGAATAAGCACTTGCAAATGATGATGTCGAAAAACTAAGTTGTGCCATGTGAAGAAGCCAACCAACCTCCAGTTCAAAAAAATCAGACATCTTAGGCCTGATTCTAATGAACATATGCATTTACCTATGTGTGCATTTTCTCCCCTTCCTTCAATTTACAGGAAGACATGATGCAGAAAAAGATTATTTGCCAGCTGCTGCTCACACAGAAGCTTTGGGGTGATTGTATTTGGCCTGCTCAGGAAGAAAGCTGGATGAAGAAAATGATGTTAAAAGCTAATCTTAGACAAAGAAAACTAATATTTTAAAAGGTAGCTGATAAGAGGCAGAGATTATAATCTCTGTAACACACTTCAAAAAAATGAAAACATTTCAGAGGAAAGAATTCATGGGCCTCCTAGGCCTATATCTATACTTCATGATGTTCTTGAGGGTCTTTAATGAATTTAACTGGCCACATCAGAGCTATTACGCTAAATAGAACCCTGGACAAGCTAAACCAACAGGTCTTCCTCTGTATTTCATTTTGTTTCTACCTTCCTAAAGCATGACCAAACAGCAGTTTGTCCAAGCTCTGTAATGCTGTTACCTTGGCACACATTCCTGGAGTGCCAAGTGAAAGAGCAGAGACTTACAGAGTGCTTCCAAACAGGTACAGGGAAAGGGATTTCCACTCAGCTGACTAATGACCATGAATGTACTGCGATAGGAGGGACCACCATGGAAAAGAGGTGTCCTGAAAGGATGTTATGAGTGCAGTGGACATGCTCAGCTTTAACAGCACTCCCTGCTGCACCACCTCAGAGGTTAAATGGGGTTTACAAGTAGATTTCACAACAGAGCCTTCCCCAAAATTTTTTGTTAAAGCATAATAGTTCTTTAGTTTTTTCTTGCTTTTATTCTGACAATTCCAGAGGAGCTGGTGCTGTTGTATTAATGTATATATAAACAGGGAGAAGGGGAGAGGGATCAACCACTGATTTACTCAACACATCACCCCTCTCACTCAGCAGGAATGCATGCTTGCTGTACCAGTGACTTCATGGGGAATGGTACCCATGTGAGTGAAAATACAGTACAGCCAAATGACAATGATTGCATAGTCCCACTTCGCATCAGGCAATCTACTGCTTTGACCTGCTTTTCCTGGCAGGAGAGCAGGACAGGCAAGAGGAATAGGATGGGAAGATCATGCCACTGTAAGTTTTCAGGTTTTGATATTTATTGGTCCTGTTATTCTCATAAATCAGGTGCACGTCTCACCATGTGTGCTCCTGTTCCATCCCTGATGAACAGCTGTATGTACCATCAGGTCCGGTTAGAGAGCAGCTGGGTAGATTTACCCTGAAGAGAGAGCTGGGTAAAGAAACAACCTGAAAAGCACAGGTGCTTTAGGTATTTTCTTCCACTTGTTGTCTCTTCCTTTCTCAAAAAACAGCAAAAAACAGTTGAAGGTCTGAATTTAAGATAGGGAAGCATTCATTCAGTTGTTTGTCTTCCTTCACTATCAAATCAAAATGGTTGGGGAAGTAGCTGTATTTTTATATAAGCTTGGATTATTCACTTTTATCTTCCCTTTTTCTTTATTATTCTTAAGTGTTTAATGTGTCTCAAATTGATTTTCCTTTTTTTGCATAGGTTATGAAATATGCATCTCATTCTGTCTAAGGAAACTCTATTTTTGCAGAAGTTATTTATTCAGAGAGGATTTACAGAGGCCTAAGTCATGCCTGCTTAAACATTCATTGAGGACTCCAAGAAAAATCATTTAGGCTTAAACATATCACATTACATACCTCTTTATGTCTTTTTAAAAAGCACATTACCCTGTTTAATCCTTTACAAGCACCACAGGCTTTCCTATCCTTGGAACTATTCCCATTTAAAATATAATGAAGAGCTTCTTTTGTGCCCCTGTCTGCTCTTTCTTCCCTGGAGTATAATAGTGCCTAATGCCCTATCCTACCTACCTTGTTCCTCTGAACATGATACCATAGCCTACAGCATCTTCATTTTTCTAAGTAGTACAGAGTAAAAAATTCCTTTCCAAGGCAGAATCCAAATGTGTTTGAAACCTCTGCCTATTTAACTCTATCTGCAAAATATTTAGTTGGTAGAAAACTTGTGAATGACTGTCAGGTGAAATAATGCTTATGGATGTTGCATTAAGAGAAACTGCTCATAGGCTTATAGTATTTCCTTTTCAACTTGCACACACCATCAAAAGGAATTTGGTCTTGAGGTTTGGATTTTCTTGTGATCCTACTTGCACTGCCAGTGGAAACGTGCTTGCAACTGCTGAGCCCGTTTGTTTTCCCTGGACACTGGGGATGGTGCTTTTACCCTCCCAAAAATACTGTCATAGTAAAATATTGTTTAAAGTACTTATGAATAGACCATAGCAAAGTTGTGTTAAGGTGATTCCTATGGGGAAGAAAGGGATAGTAACAATTTATGATTCTGTGCTAGAACAAACCATTAATAACTACACATGGACATTCTTAATTTGTTTACAGCAGTAGTGACAGCATGAAGATTTATTTTGGTGGGCCAAATAACCTCCTGAATTAACTAATTATCCTGATATACCCACAGAATTGTCATCAGAATTGCCATTCTTGTGGCAGAAACACTGATCACACCACATAAAATTTGTTTAACATATGGAAGTTGATAGATCTTTGTTGTGAACATTTCTGACCATGGAGTAGCCCAATGAAAAGACACTGAAATAAAAACAGAACAAAGACAGACTTTTGGGATACTGGATCTGTACCATGATTCAGCAATTTGACAGTGGCTAAGATAGGGATAGGAAGCAAAAAAGGAAGAGCATATAAAAATGCTGGGACAGTACTCCAGTATATCTTAATTCACAAGAGGATCAGCTACACTATACAGCTGTTGGTTAGCAAGCTAATTATCAACCCAGAGACTGTTCCCTGGCTCCCCTCTGCCTCTGGAGGTGATGCTTCTTGGGCAGCTGAGATGTTCTGTGTCAGCTCTACGCGTAATAAGGTTCACAACTACCCCTAAGAACTTGATATGTTCAGTCCCACAGCTGAAGGTGCAATTCATCTATTTTCCAATTACTGTCTCCTGCACAGTCCATGATTTGGAGCTGACAGATGCCTGGGGGTACTAAGTGCACCTACTGCCCTTGCTTTGTATTATTGTGGGTGGTCTGGCTGTTTATTTTTCTTTCCTGCAATCCTGTGTATCTTTGCTTCCATATATGGGGCTTAAAAAAACTTACAGCAGTGTAAAAAATTAGAATCCTGACCAGAAAGCACTCCAAATGCAGTGTGGTGTTATTTTCACGCTATATCAAAAGGCTAATAGCTATCTGGGTTGGCTGAGGAGGTCAGTGTGTTTTGGAAGTACAATAACTGGTCTGTGACTGTTAACAGAACACGAAGAAAATTCTGTGCATAGCTTTAAAAATGAAATATAAAACTCTTTTCCTGCTACCTTGTTTTCTCAGAATTCAAGGTAGGTTGTTCTCCCTCACCAACACTCCTGAGCATATATTAAAGTCTGATCTTACTTTGACTTTCTAGAGAGTTTTCACAGGTTTTATCTTGAGTAAAACACCTGTAAAAGTTATTTTCTGCAGA